TGTAGTGAAATTTACTTGTGATTTTAATTTGTATTTCCCTAAAGAGTAAATTCTATTAAGCATCTTTTTATGTGTCCTTGTCAACCACATAACTACTAAGCTAAAGTATATATTCAAATCATTTCATCATTTTATTAAATATCCATTCTATCTTAAAAAAAGATTTATTTTATTTATTTGAAAGGCGGATTTACAGAGAGGGAGGGAGAGAGAGAGAGAGAGTCTTTCCATCTGCTGGGTTACCCCTAAATAGACACAAAAGCAAGAGCTGCACCAAGTTAAATCCAGGAGCCAGGAGCTTCTTCCAAGTCTCCCACATGAGTACAGGGGCCCAAGACTTTGGGTCATCTTCCACTGCTTTCCCTGGTGTATTAGCAGCCAGCAGCGTTGGAAGTGGAGCAGCTGGGATTCAAACCGGCACCCATATGTGATGCCAGCTTGGCAGGTAGCAGCTTACCCCATTATGCCACAGCACTGGCCTCCTGTTCATTTTCTTAATATTGATTTGTAAGAATTATTTTTATGCTCTGGATCTGAGTACTCTCTAATTTACATGTTTTGTAACTACTTTATTTCAGTTTTCATTTTTTATAGTGTCTTTACAAAATAAAAATTTTAAAAGAACAGCAGAAGTTTTTAATTTGATAATATACAAGTAATCAACGCTAGGCACAGTTTATACTTTTGTCTTCAAAGAAATCTTTAAGAAAATAACATCAAAATATTTGCTCTTGTATTTTAAGCTTTCATTAATAATCATCTGGAAAGTGCACATCAAACCCACAGAGAGATATCACCTTGAATATTCTCAGCTGATAAGCCTTCAAATATTCCTTCTGCAAATTTCATCATTCTTTTCAATCTGAGATCCAGTTTAGGCTTATCTAAATATTATGATGCTGTCCCACTGATTTTGGATGCTTTCTCCTTTGTCACTCTATTTCTTTGTTCTTCAATTTGGGTAATATTTCTGAACTATCTTTGTGTTTCCTGCATTTTTATTTCAGCATCGACTCCACTGAAGGAACTTCTCATCTCTGATATCATACTTTTCTTTATAGCATTTCCATGTAATTCTCTCTTGCACTTTACAATTTTCAGACATGTTGTTTAACGTGGCCATCATTTATCACATCAATTATAGCTCTCTAAGGTTGCTATCTGAAACATTGCAGCATTATTTCTGAGTGTGACCTGTGGACTACTTTATTTCTTGACCATGCATTGCTGCTGTTTTTTTCCTTACTCCTCAAGCACCTCATTTACTTGCAAACTGCTCTAGCTTGTGTCACCATTGGAGACACAGAGGTAACCAGTATTTATATTTGAACGTGGATGTATATCCCCTTGAGCAGTTAGTCCAGGTGACAGAGTCAAATCAGTCAGGACTCAAGCTGGTGTGAGCTTTAGTTTTGCTATGCTTATCACATTAGAGCAGTGGAACCCTCTGTAAGTTTCTGTTGGATATGGCATTGCAGGGGGTAATTTTCATGCTACAACTCAAGCTTTCATCATCTCTGCATGTCTAAACCACATAAAAAGTTCCTCTATGAACTCTTGACCCTACCCTTCTAGTACAATGCAGGTGTTGCTGGCTAACTGGTGTTTCTAAGCTAGTAGCAGAGAGCCAGGGTGACTGCCGATAGCCCTGGTTCAGTCATGGCTTTGTACATACGCCATTTATCTAGCCTTGGTGGTGAGATTTATTCTATACAGTCTTTCTTGTGTTGGGCAGACAAACGTATCTTTGTGTTTGTGGCAGGTCTTGAACACGTTGGAGGATGTTGTATGGAATTTTGTTATTCATTATGCACTGTGCTATAAACCCAGCCATTCTTCAGAGTTCTCAAGCTGTGTTATTCTCCAAACACTAATATGGTCACATTAAGAGTAAAAATATTTAACTGAACACTAATTTAAAGAGGGAGGGGGATTAAATGAGTTTCTTAGAAATTCTATCACAGAACTGTGAATCCATCAAGTAGGGATGCTACTACCACTCAGTGGTGGCTCCAACAAAAGAAAGTTCCCATTGAAAGTAGAAGTAGTATATGATTCAGCAATCCCCCTACTGCATAGGTCTCACAGGAATTGACATTGGTATACAGTTGAATGTTTATTTCACACGTTCATAATTGTCAAGATAAGAGAGTCCAGCATGGTGGCATAGCGGGTTAAACCGCAGCCTATGGTGCTGGTGTCTTATATGCGCACACACTTGAGTCCTGACTGCTGCACTTGTTATCCAGCTGTCTAATAATGGCCTAGGAAAAGCAGCAGAGGATGGCCCAAGTGTTTGGGCCCCTGAAACCCATATGGGAGACACTGATGAAGCTCTTGGCTCCTGGCTTAGGTCTGGACCAGCATTGGCCACAGATGCCATCCGGGGAATGAGACAGTGGAAGATCTCTGTCTCTCCATCTATCTCTGTAACTGTGACATTCAAAATAAATAAGTCTTTTAAAATATATGGAATCAATCTTAGTATTAGTTAATGGATGAATGCATATGAAAATGTTGCGTATATACATAATGGAATGCTATTCATCCCTAAAAATGCATGAAATTCTGTCATTTGCAGCAACATGGATGAAACTGGAATGCATTATTATTACTGAAATAGTTACAAAGGTAAGTACTACATGTTCTTACTTTAAGTGGAGGCTAAAATGTTGATCTCAAAGTAGAGAATAGAATGGGGGCTACCAGAGCCTGGGAAGCGTGTAGAAGAGACAGTGATGGGGGGAAAACTGTTAATTTGTACAGAAGTGCAACTGCATAGGAGCAATAGTTCCTAATGTTCTACAGCAATTAATTCAATATTCCAAGATAGTAATGATGATTTTCAAAGTTCCCAGCACAAGAACTAATAAATTTCTTAGTCTGTAGATATGTCAATTATATTTGGTGGATAATTACACAATGTGTACACATATTAAATATCATATTGTTCCCAAGAAACATACACAATTACTTCATATGTGTCAGTCAAAATTAAAATGTTGAAATTTATTTATTTTAATATTTAAGATTTAACAATTTTTAACATTTTGTCATATTCACTCTTTCCATATGTAGCTATTATATACATACAAATATATATTATTTTTCTTGAAAACAGGAATATTAATATCACATTACATGGGATTTGTGACAATGATCATATAGTGAGGAAAGAGGAGAATATTGCTATGTACAAGATATAATATAGTAAAGAAAATATTCATAACTATCTATATACCAAATAATATAACAACCACATGCTTTTATACTTTCTATACATGGATTGATTTCCACATGTGAGGGAAAATATGTGATCTTTGTTTTTCTGTGACTGGCTTCTTTCACATAGCATAATGATCTCCACTTCCAAGCATTTTGTTGGAAATGTCAGGATTTCATTTTTTCCTCATGGCTGAGTAGTACTCCATCACGTAGGTATACCACACTTTCTTCATCCATTCATCAGCTGATGAACATCAAGGTTGTGTCCATATCTTTGCTATTAAGAATTGGGTTCATATAAACTAGGGAGTGCAGGAATCTCTCATAGACGTTCCTTCAGATATACTCTCAGAAGTTGGAGAGCTGAGTCATATGGTAGATACATTTTTAGATTTTTGAAGATCTGCTTATTGTTTTCCATCATGGTTGTACTAATCACTGAGGAAGGGAGCATCCTTTTCACAAATGTAACGAAAGTGTTTTTCACAAGCAGCACTATTAATATATCCTGACTTGAGGCATC